CCAACCCCCAACCTGGAGGGCCAGGAGACTGTGTTCGCCAGATCTCTAACCATTGACCAACCTGGTGTGAGAGACTCTGTGAGTGTCGCGGGACACTCTCCAGTATAGCTCAATGGACGCTGAGGTGCGCAAACCGTCACACCACGGTAAGGTCCAGTCTCTTCGTCTTTGCGCTGTCCGGTTGTCCAGCTTAACCTAGCTCAATGCCCCTCGGCATAAAAGCGATGCCTGCTTGTAGTGTCGGCTTACATCCCAACGGACTGTAGTTCTGATGCCGAGGAAGCTTTCCATCGAGAGCTATCCGGGCTCATTCGCAAAGCGAAAAGCATTGGCATTGTGATTCCTACAGGCAATATGAATGCCAAAGTAGGTCGTCTAAGCTCCTTGGAATCACATTTGGGCGGTCGATTCGGAGTCAATGCTCGCCGCACAAACAACGGAGAGCGACTTCTGCAATTGTATGCTGACCATGAACTGTTTCTGGCAAGTGCGAACTTTCAACACAAACGTTCGCATCGCGTAACCTGGAGGCCACCAACTGCAAATTAACCATGGACCCAGTTGGAACACGTGGCCATCAGCCACAGGTGGAGAGCCACAATTCAAGACTGCCGTTTCTTTTGGAGCACAACACTTGATTCCGATCACGGTATGGTGCGTGCACTCCTGACAGTCCGCTTCCCTTCCTCACAAATCAACAAGAAGCATGCCAATCCACTATCTTCGAAGAACTACCATAGCTCAACAGTATCAATCTGAGCTATCTAAACAACTCTCCGCAGTAAACCAATACTATGGTAGTAATGAGCATGTGGATGAAGCGTGGCAAAATATGCAGGGGGTTATGTTAGCGGCGTTCAGTGAGGTCTGAGTGACCTCTCCGATTTAACCGATTCGACAAGCTAGTCTCCTGTAACAGCTTGTGGAGACAGCGCATACGGGCGAATGGAATGTAAATTTTGATCAAACTTCGGAGGAAGAAATAAAGTACGAAATATCCGTACTCAAACGTGATAAGGCATCATGGCCGGATGGTGTCCATCCAGTCCTCTTTAAAGGTGGAGAATCCCTGATGACCGATCTTACAAAACTAATTGATGCGATATGGAGTGAAGAGAAATTGTCTGCAGAATGGGGCATGTCGACAGTTACCCTTCTAAAAGGGTGCGCAGCCGCTGCGTGAAAACCACCGTGACATCAGCCTGTTAGCTGTGGCATCAAAGAGTCTCTCTGGTCCTATCCTTCGAAGTTTCAGTGAACAAAGGGAGAGGTGAAAACCAAACTGGGTTCTGCCCTGTAAGAGGATGCATCGATCATATCTCCACTCTCCGATAAATTCTGGGACAGCGACACCGCTTCCAGCAACCAACAGCGGTTGTTTCTTTATCTGAAAGCTGTCTTTGACTCTGTGGACTGCCAGGCACTATGGTAGTGTTTAGGCAGCAAAGATGTCCATGTTCTTGATCCTCCTCAAGGTGCTGTACGCCAACTCCCGTGGTCATTTGAACGTCTACGGGAAGTCCTGTTCTGAGTTCACTACATTAAAAGGTGTCAGACAGGGCTGCCTTTTTTCACCTTTCCGCTTCGAATTCATCATTGATACGACCATAGAAGACTTATTACCAGCCTCTAATGTCTGTGGGGTCGCGGGGCAAACCTCGAGGTGGACAACGCATGACTTAGCAGAAGGGCATGAAAAAGATCACGGAGAGTTTGAGTGATGTTGGTATTGAACGCCTTTCAGAATGGAGTTCCCTGGACCCAACCTGTGCCCGGCTGGAGACGTTGCAAGAAATGGCGGCTAACCAAGGTTGGTGGCGTTCGTGCTGTCAGTTTCTTTCCAGATTCTAATTGAGTGCCTGGAGGTGTAGGCACTTAGAATGCTTAACAAAGGTCCCCTCCCTCACCCACTCTTTTTCTCTTCTTTTCACTCTAGAGATTTGAATATAGTTAAATGAACCTTATGGTTGTACGGAATGAAGCATCAGTACCAACACTGATGTTTCTGTCTTCTATGATGATGACGATGACGAATGCTGAAGTTCCCTTTCATTTCCATTCAAACCATCCACAACCCATAATCAATGGTCACCAACGTTGTTGACCGTGAGATGGCTGTGGTTGAAGCTTGAGTTTACTCTCCAGAAAGTTCGCCGTCTAAACCCAGCCTCTGCATTTTGAATACTCCTGCCTAGGCATGGACAACCTGGGAGGGTCTTAACCCCCGTGCTTCCTCCAGTTGGCATACCAGCTAGATACCGTAGGCTTGTTATGGCTGAACGATTATTAGATTGTTATTAATGCACTTGTTTAAGAAAGTCGTTCATATTATTCTGGCCATCTTTCTACCCAAAATACGGCAGATTTCTACCCAATTGTTCGTATTCTCATTAGCATACACATTTCACTGCTCCCTAACGTTATGCGGTTCAAAACTTTCAACTCGTCTGCAGTGCCCCAGAACTGTCTGTCTTTGTTATCGGTGTTCACCTTTGGAGCGCACTTCGTGACTCACTAAGTTTGGTTGGAATCGGTCATAAATGCCGACACATCTGAGGCAATAAGAGTAAAAAAATAAATTACCATTCACTTGTAGCCCCATTTCGTTCATAACTGCTATGTATTCCAAAAGAACCTCGAGGGCTGTGTTATCAGGTTGCTCAAGCGTAGACAGGAGCAGCTGAGCTGGAGGTTAGTTTCGAACTACGGATCTTCCAGTCATTATGTTTGCAAAATAATTCCTGAGCTATCTCCAGGCGCCCCGTTTAGTTAGCTTTGATTCTGATTACCCACAAGATTGTTGCTCGATGATGTTGGTCGATGGTGCTACCAAATACTTCTCCAGCCATTGTCAGGAAACCTGTTAACAAATACTCCGGGCTTTTAACAACTGCATTCAGTACACTTGATAGGGGGATATCCAAACCACATTTTACTCTTTATATCAGGCCACGTAGGTAGTCCAGATACGAAGCTTCTGACTAAAGCGTGAGTAGAAGCTATTGGAATCTGGCGCTTCTAATTACATGGAGCGCCCCGCAACCCTGACGCCGCACTCCATGGAATCCATAAATCTGATGGGAGACACCAACTTACACAGCAGACTGACAGGATCACTCCTATCACCTACCAATCGAATTAGCCGACAAATTTAAAGATCATGCACTTAAGCTTCACTGCCAGTAAAGCCGTCTGCATCGCCACCAACCTACTCACTTCTAAACTCAAAACAACGAAACGCCCAACGATTATAGCCTTTCAGTCACCAGCTGCACTTCAGCAAAGATTAGGCTTTCATTCATGCGGGCTCTCCCCCCTACGTGGAAATTGACAAGCGAAAGTTTCTTCTCTTATTTTAGCATCCACCGGAAACGGTTTCCCAACTTAGCAGGCGTCCTTCACCGGTCCGAGTCCACGGGTCCCTGGCTTCATGTACGGATCTACACACATAGCTCATAGCTTAATCCTCGCGACGACCTGGGGTCTCCGGATGTATTCAAACTGTGTGCATGACAGCGCATACATCAATATGACTTGGCAAACTGTATTGATCTGCAATACTAAACATCCCAAGCACCCTACACTGCCTAGACAATCTGCCGCTTCACATGATCCACTGGAAAGCATGGTTTGGTAAAAAAACATGCATCATAATGTTGTCATGTTTAACTTGTGGATATCTCGGTGCGTCAGAAAAGGCGTTACTGGACTTTTTTGCGCTTGCTAATCATTTTCAACCGCCGGTTCTTGCGAGAGCGTTTGTTTAACACAGCAGAAAGCAGATGTACCTACAGGCTGCAACAGCGAAGCTATAATCCATAATAACCAACAAAAAGAACTCACGCTAACAAAAACTCTGACGAAACACCGGACACTCCGAGCGGCGTGCGAAAATCGATGAAAGTTTTGGAGGTCGCGCGCTTTTCGTGAACTTCATTAGTTGCTCGAAAGCCGAGTGAAACTGTGCAATGTTGCTTTTAAGAACTCCAAATGAGTGGATGTTATTCTGCTTGAACATAATCTTCACGGACAGCAGACAACTCCGAAAAAATGAGTATTTTCAATGAGCGGGATACCTAGGATTCATGGATGGAGCTCAGTATTCGAAAAATTGAACTGAACTTTTGAAAGCTACAACGTGTCCATGATAGACTAAACCAGACAGGCAATTGACTTCCACCTTGAAATCTCTGGGTCCTAACGATCCTAGAAATGCTTTTCCACCAGAATTTATTCTCCAGGGGTTTGTTTGATTAAGTGGACAATGAAATTTGGTGGGCTGCGAAAATACGGATGTACACTAGGATGGTTTCCGGTTTGAGCCTATATGCAACTTAATGCAACATTTTGGCATAAAAAGTTCTATTCCACTCGCAAATCTTTTGCAGCTAAAAGCACTGAACTGCCAAGGAGCCCGTACATGGATTGACATAATTGATCAAGGTATTTTCCCCAAGCTTCTTAGGCCACCTTTGTTAATGGGCTCCCGTTCACCTAATAAGCGCAAGCGAAGGTGTAAAGCACCTATCCTTAAGCCTTCCGCGTTGGGTAGTAAGTCCGCCAGCTCGAGTGCAATAAATATGTCCCGGATGCGTTGTGCATAAATATCGAAGGTAAATTATTACCCATTCAAAAAATTATTGGCTTTGTCCCTGTTTGATTAATGAGAAATTGAGTGAATAAATTTGATTTAAACACATTCCTATTAATGTCCCACAATTAAATGTACCTGGAAGTAATCGGAATGTCCAGCTCAATTCTACCGAACGTCGATGGCTGTATGCTTACCGGAACCCACTTTCTCTGAATCTGAAGTTCGCGTTGAATAATTGTTCTAATAGATTAAGTTCATATCGCAGTGATTGTGGTGATGAGAGGAAGCAAATGGTTTGATTGCACCTGACTTCAGGGTCACGCAACAGTTGTATGGGGGTATCGAGGGGAGAGCAATGAACTCTGGGCTCCAGGATCCACAGTGGAGCCTTGTTTACTCTACTTCCAGCCAGCTAAGAGTCGAGAATGGCCAGCAAAAGCGAAGTTCCACGTAATTTTCTCTTGTTGCGGGATGTTCTTATTCCTAATAGGACCATTATGTCTCGCCTTTCAGGTTCGTTCTACTACGGGAAACTTCTGCTATTCTTGCATATTGCACCTTGAGAGTCATAATATTACTCCTAATCCTAAGCTCCCCAATGCATCCAAGGAATTCACGGATTCACAGATTGATACAAAAGATTGAGGCTTCCGCCCAAGTCTCCCCGGGTAGAATCTATTCTTGCCGTTGAGCTGCTGTCGTTCAACTGAAATGCACAAGAGAAAAAGGGTTCAACGCTGCTCTACTAGTTCTCAGCGCAGAGCAGTAAGCTTTCAATGGCTGGGGCGCGCATAAAAAACGTCTAGTGGGAAAAACCGGCGAAGAAAGGTTATTTCACGCGGCAAACACCCGAAATAAGAAAAAGAATTTACCAATCGAAGGCGTGCGCCCTGCGCTCAAAAATCTTCTGAACATGTCCTCGGCTTGTGGTACTGCATCAGTGGTAAAAAACCTGTTTGACGAACCTTGTTGAATGTCCAGGCAAATTGCGAAACGCCCGAACCGGACGCTAAAATGGTACGCGGGATGGAGGGAGCCGGGTTGCAGATATTGCCCACCACAGAATATTCAACGGATTTTCCCGGAGGACAGCATGAGCCACTTACTGCAATTCGCACCTTCCAAATGAGTTGAGGTCGTTTGCAGTTTTCCTCCATGGCAGAATCAGACTCTATCGAATAATTTCCACGTGAATGACGGATGCATCAACAAACTACAATTCCGAGCGACGCGTAACTGGGGAACTTCCGGGAAGGCAAAACAAAGCCGGAGCTGGTTTTCTATACAGCATGATTATTGTGAGACATTCACAAATTACACAAACCTCGACAGAGGGTGCTCGTTCAAAACGGATGGTCCACTTGGACTACAAAGGAACACACCAGATGAGCAAACAGGCCTTTACACACATGCATAAAGTTGGCCACAAATGTCTGGGTGATCTCAAGGTCAAGTGAATGAATTGCTGAGGGGAAATAACGCACTAATCACAAAAATGGGGCGGAGGTTACAAATAGGGACAGAATAAGCGTGGGGGGTTCAAATGTCAACGTAACGGACGACACAACGGGTAAAAGTGATTCTGAGTATTTTAGGTGGGGAAACCTGTGACAAGCATTGGGTGATCACCCCAAAACCTGGAGTTGAAATGCACCCGGGACTTTCCCTCACGCATATTGAGTATGCAGACTATATAACTCTACTTGGTTCAGACCATTCTCAACTGCGAAGGCTTTTAGATAACCTAAATAATTCTGCCTCACGCCTTGGCATGCGCTTCATATCCTCAAGATGTAAAGTTTTCCTACAAGATTCGATGGGATCAAACCCAAACTCTCTGCTTGCAGGTGAGCCATGTGGTAGATAAATACGTTTACCCTTGTAGCTGTATAAGATCCGGTGGATTTTGGTGGAGATGAGATTATTTGTCGAATCTGAAAGGCCAAGACAGCTTTTGCCAACTTCCGAAACCGATGGTACCCACGTGACGTGAGCTTGTCTGTTAATGGCTTACACTGCAGTGGTGCGATCCATACTGCTTTATGGGGCGGAGGCTTGGCCGCAATGCGCCGAGGACATACGGAAGATGTTAGCGTTTGATCATCGGTGTCTCCTAAGCGTTCATCAGGCCTGGCGAAAACATCTGATTGGTTATACTAAGGTACGCTGGATGGTCTTAGAAAGAAGGAACTTTCCCGCGGTAGGTAAATTACCCGCCTTTCGTAGGTTACACTAGTTAAGACATGTACTTCGCATGCCAAAAGACGGTCTGCATCACACAGCTCTTTTCTCGCAGCCCTGTGTTTAGTGGAAGCGCCGGAGAAATTGACAGTGTATGTCCTGGCAACGAAGTACGAAAACACTAACCAGCAAACTCAGTCGCGTGGGCTACTGCCGCCTCTCTATATGGGGACCACGTGACTCAAGCCACCAGTGGTTAATGACATTGGCGGAAACGGCCCAATCGTACAGCCAATGGCGCTCGTGAATCAAAGCTATCGTCTTCAATGCATTGCTACCCGATTTCAGAGCAAAACGGATATGCCTTTGCTCCAATGCTTGGTTGCCTGTTCCAGTTTCCCGTTTTCTAGTGATCAAAACTGTAGCAGCTGGAACCAATGTACCCATCGTACATGGTTTATAGCTGATAAATTGATTGGATTGAGCTCAATTACTGGGTGCCATTCGGCAACTTGTGAGTAACAGAGACATTTACCGTCACCACTAGAGTATGAGTAGAAGCGCAGCAACGTATCCACGGACACTTTATAAGCTTAACGGGAGACCGCTCGAATCGCTCGAGAGAAGAGTTCTCAGCGGCCACTTAAAAGATTCCCTGCAACCAGCCTGATTGACCCGGTGAGGGGTCATGAATCAGACTAGTCCGTGGCTAGGGCAACCTTATATGACCTAATGGAACATTTGCGCATGCGCGTGTTTGTGACATCTCTAGCTATTCATGCTATTCTCAAGTCAAATCATCATTTACAGTCGGCACCAAGCCATTTAATAGCAATTTTTAGTCAGCAAAAGGCCGAAAATGTAAGTAAACAAAGCGATATATTTCGACAATGTATAAAAAAGGAATGAAAATCATATGAACAACTATTGGGAGGATCAACACTGTGTTGCACGGCGAATATCTCCTTGGCGGGAACTGTAGGTTGTGCAAGGCGTAGCAGCTCAAAAACGAAGAGTTGGATTCGCCACCTCAATTTCAGAGATACTTGCGACATACTTATAGAAAGGACCTAAAGCTATTGCCGCAGAGCTATTCCCGCACAACTAATTACAATGAATCCTGATCTCAATAATGTTTTCATGACGCTGAAATAAGCGCTGTGCAGTTTTACGGCCGTACGCTCCGAGAACGTTAACTTTTCAGTTGACTGGAAGCTGATTTAGGTTGTATTACCAGTAATCACTCGTCAAAACTTGAAAATGTTTCTCATTCAATAGAATGGTTTTTACTCCTCAAAGTCAACAGAAGTAAGAAGCAGACAGTTACCTTTTCTGAAGGGTTCTATGCGCAGTTTTCGGAGAATACGTTGTCTCATGCATATATTGTTTTCAAGCTATTTCAAGGCAGTTTACGGCCCACTAGACAGCACCGACGGACTAATTTGTGAATCTCCAAAGATTGGTGCATAATAAGTTGGGCGACGGTTATTCAAGCCTGCTCACAATGAAACCCGCAGTTGCTTCACGGATAAACGCTTAACAGTTTCGAATAGATACAGAGAGCCGTGTCACGTAAGATTTTCAATTGACACCGATATATCACTGGAAGTACGTTCACACAAAAGTGTTCACACCTACTGCTTCGTTGGCAGGAATCGGATCTTTATGACTGCACGAGTCACATGGTCCTCCAGCTGAAGAGAAGTCATCCATGACCCTGCATCAGCCTGACTTCATCTAGTCAATCTCCTTGCGTAACCCAGGTCCAGCTGCCGCAGAAATGCGTATCCTCTCTCCGATTGCGGCACCCTTGACGAACGCTATGTGGCTGTCCAGAAACCGAAGTGTGTCCGTGCGCTGACGGCATGGCATCGCCATACCAAATGTGGGGAACCGCCGTAACTACTTTCCTTAGAATCTCGACCGCAACCTCTCACCCACTCCAGCCCGTAATTGTATCTACGAGCACAGTTTTCACCTAATCCTAAACGCCTCTCGGACGAGTTCATCCTAACCCGATGAAATTTTCTTCCCTGCAATAGAAATTTATTGCCGCTGGCATCGCTGGGTCGTTATCTCAGCGGATCTGATAGCGGATCTCATAGATCTAACAGAATGCAACCAAAAATTGCGACAGATACTCTCGTTTACTATCGATCATTATTGGAGTCATTCAAGAGAGCGTGCTGGGCTCCATCCTCTTCCTGCTGTATAAGAACATCTTTGGCACCGTGTCTTCTCTACTTTGCAGATTTGAAAATCGCCCGCATATTTCATTCCTCTGCAAAATCTCTTGCCTTTCACCAGATTCAACAAGACGAAGACTCTCAGACTCGCTGGTCAACTGCCTCTGGGCTAAGCATCTCATCTGCTAAGTCCCAAAGTAATCCCTGCCGCTGCTTCCCCCCGGTTGATGCGTTCACAATTAGATGTACACCGCTAATTCACTCCACAGAGATCAACGACCTTGGTCTCAGATACTTTGGTACTTTTAGCTTTTCACACCAAGTCCAGCTCCGGGTTGCCCGAGCACATAGCTCTGTTCTCTAATATTAAGCTCCTTGTACCTCCGAGAAAAAATGTAGCATTTTTCAACGAATGCGTGTGATCAGTCATGGAATTCCGCCCTGTATTCTCTTCCCTTTATAGGCAAAGTTGCAGACCAACACTCGGAAGTATCTAGCACCCACTCGCCAGATTGTCGTTTCCAAGGTCCAGATCTTTCTCCTACCACTCCTGCAGCGCAAACTCGGGCCCTGAACCACCATGGCTCAGACGACTGAAGCTAAATTTGACTCTCCTTCACCATCTGCTGCACCAAAATGCCTTTAGAGCAGGAACTGGGCCAAACGTCATTTCATGTCCTCGCAGTAAATCTCATGACCCCAGCAACCTCTCGAAGATTCCCTCTGCGGATCTACCAGTCAGCACCTCTGAATCACTAGCAACCGCCAGTAGTCTTCAAATGATTGAAATTAGTATATATTACTTTCCTTTATTCGGTAGTATAGAGTAAAAAGTGATTTGAGAAGTGACCTGCGGCTTCCGTCCTAGGTGGGAATCGGCATGAGTTTCGTGGGCTCCCACTGCGGATGATTCCTAGTAAGGATGAATTTACTATTGAGCGCTTTTCTCGACTTTTTAGCATACCTTAACTCCACTTGCAGGACGAAACCTCGGTTAAAAATTACCCAATCTCTCGCAATAACAACAATGTATAGGCGGCTAAGAGCTAGAGTAAAAATTACCCGATGTGTGTAAACTTCATCTAAGAAGTCGTCACTCGAGGAGCCAGGCAACACGTGACGTGTATCCCATGATTGAAAGATTAATGGCTAAGCTAACTGTCACATATAATTCAACATCAAAATGCTCCATCCACAGCAAAATCATCCTTTCAGTGATTCAGGTACTTCAGTTATCGAAATCCGGTACCCACAGCTTTTTGAAGTGAACGTTTAGCGTAATGTATGCTCACTATCAATTCCGATAAACCGATTATCAGTTTCATTGCATTTGAATGGTTGCATCATCTGTTCAAATCTGAAGCCTATTCAAACCGCCCCTTTCCTCTGTTTGACCTTTCAAAACACCAAGAAGTCTGGTAGTAACTTTCGATGTGGATGACTTCCGTCATATTCCTGCACTGTGTGGTTCAGTTAGACAGATGAAAAAACTGGTTTATCCAGGCTCGTGGCAAATTACTGCCATTGCAAGATAACTAGTGGTACACTTAAACGGGTTTCATATGGCTGGTGGCTAAAACAATACTTCAACGGATCAAAGTTGCCTTTTTTGCTGCACAAAAGATATGGCCACAAGTTGTTTCATAAAGGGTGCACTAGCATGTGGTCATCATTGGAGTCAAGGGCCAAAGCTAAATTCGTTCAGTGGTGGCCCTGTGCTACCCGCGGTTTGTGTAATCGGGGTCGCAGGAGAAAGTGTAGGCGATCACAGATACGGTAAAGTTGGACGGAAAGATTTAAATGACGGTGATTATACGCGTCGTGTATGCTTTGGTAGAGCGCTCGTCCAAAAATGGTTTGAAGCAACTACATGCAAAGCGGTTGTCTGACTACGAACTCGTGGATGGTGAAGGGGATATATTTATCTAAGTGGTTTTTGCCGGTAATATTCATTCGACAAGACAAAGATTAGTCTTTGTTCGTCGTTTCTGACGCGTTTTCAGATGGCTGTTTCAACTGGGATACAGAGAAATGTACGAATGTGAAAGCTGGAAAAGCAACTTCTGGCCTGTGGTCGGGGGAAGGGGGGCAAGAGAGACCCAACATGGCAAAAACGGTGGAGAATAGGTCAATTGGGTATCGGCTCCAAAGCTTCAGTACCAAAGGATGATTCTGAGCACATTAGGAGGGCAGGATAAAGAGTCACGGGGATTCCGTAAGCTGATGTTCCCGCATACATATGCACACCAGTGCATCATACTGGGCCCTTTCGAAAGTAGTTGATCGTGCCTAAATGTAATGGGTGGAAAATCTCTCCAAGTGTTGCCTTAAGGAAATTTTTACAGGCATTGATCCGTCACTCAACCAAGTTCTCTACCAAGGAACTAGAAGGACACTGATAACGACCGAATTTGCCAGCCAGATTGTAATGCTGTCATTTTTCAGTAATCCGCAGAAATAACAGCGGATGAACAGTGCAAAATAACCGCTAGGATAGTAATCAGTGTGTAATTCTGGATGATGACAGTGTTGGTAATAACTATTGAAGCAAGCCACCAAGTGAAACAACTCCTCCTTCCAATTCCAAGACAAACATTTTTAGCGTTTTCGTGTCATATTATCTCGGAAGAGACCGAAACATTTAGGTAATTTATACAATTGGCTTGAGATAGTGGAAAGTTGTTGATAGTAGTTGATGGCACTCAGCCTCACTCTGAAGACACCATCCGTGCATTTGAACGGATTGGACTGTCGCGCGATACTTTTTGTCAGCTTAAGGGCGGTTTTAATGTCTTGCTTAAAACACTTTGTGTTGTAGTTTGGAACAGTCCCTGGCAATCGCAATATTGCCCTCATATTTTTGTCGGACCGGACTCTCCGCAAAGTCGCAAAGACGCTCTGTAGAAAGGGATGGGGGCGGTGACAAAAAGGTTCCCTCACATACCAAAGTGAGTCTTCGACGAATTTCCCCCAATCCGAACGTACGACTTTTCTTTGAAAAGGTAGTTGCCTAAGTAGGCTAGAAGAACACTTTCGATGACCGTGTCGAATGTTTGTGTCGCAGGAGCTTATGATCGACTGAATCGAACGGAACTTTCAAGTCTGTAAAGTGGACCCTGAAGGCTCAATGAAGGCTCCATACTAGCGTTATAAAATCAGTGTTGCAGAGTTGAGTGGATGGCAACGCTTCCTGCGAAAGATTTCGCGCTCAACTGGGAAGTACGATTGATGCAAATTAGGAGGTCTTGCTTACTTAATGAGCCCCAAGATGGACGAGACTGGTGGAGAGCTGTCAAATAGGTTTCAGAAATTGTCTAACAAACGTGTTATTTCAATAGTACCTGAAGCACTATTCCTAACGATGAAAAATTATGGTGGTATACCCAATTTCGAGCACCAAACGCCAGACTATCAGTGCGGTTTATCAAAAGTCTACCTTTCTGGTTCACTTTGGGCATTTTGCCCTGTCAAGATTATGAGTAGGGTTGTGTTTACCCACCCTGTAATAATACACGTCACTTTTTTGGACCGTTCAGAGGCAAGTTTGGGTTTATTGGAAGTGTTGCTTTTGCTCATAGTCGGTCGTAGCTATCTGAATACCATGATAAGCTCCACATGGTTACGTAATCGCGATCGAAGTGATTATTTTCATTTCCACCACTTCGGAGCTAACACTTAGATTTCAGGTATGCCCACAATTTTCTCAAACCTCGCAAAGCCTCTTGCTGGAAATCTGCCGATGCACTTACAGCAAGAAAAATCCTGTTTGGCTGGAATTACACCATTTTATGGCATTCTTCCGCCCTTTGAGACTTCACACATTAGTGCCCTAACTAAGCAACTGAACAACATGGAGCTAGTCAGCAGATATTTGTGAACTAAACGGTTCGGTACAACCGCTTCGACAGTATTAGATAGGTTCTGCCTTGTATCCAAAGGACACTTTGGTTGAGGTTACTTTGGAGGAACTTACATAGCGAGACGGAAACATGTTGCTGGTTGTCCGTGTTTATTGACCTGAGGGACGAAAATAGTTGGGCAGGCAGGTCACTGCTGTGTATTATCCGGTTTAGCTGTTATTGTGTGGACAGCAAATGTCTGGTCGTTTCGACAGCAAAAAAAACACCAACAAGCACTTTCACTATGGCGATTGCCTGACTAGTCGGATGGGGGTTGGCGTTGTCCTTTCACATAACTACTCTATTTTCCTTTTCCTTGCAACCTGTGCAGCCCGAGGCTCATAGCTAGCTGTCCGGGTGGATGAATGCGCAGAGCGTAGCCTGCATATCACTGAGGCGAATGTGCTCAGTCCAGGTAATATAGCAGTCATTGGTCCGTTAATCAAGCCCCGTAGTTTGGTGATAAAACGCTCGTAACTGAATGGCCCATCTTAGTGAGCAGACCAGCAACAACCTTTACATGAGCTGATTTTAAATTCCTTTCTTGCTCGGCGTGCTTTCGCCGCTTACAGTAGGATTTTGGAAGCATGCAACACAGGCGGGATATATCGAGGGACTGAATGTGACCTCGTAAATTTACGGTGGTCGGCAGAAAGTGTAGTCCCCACTTGGCGTCTTCAGTAAATGCATTCACCAGGATGCCCGGCCCCCAAACCACCGGTCAGCTGCATAAGTGATCTGACTAACCTATAGACTTGCTTCGTCCATCAGTCAACGATTAGGATCCGTATGTTTGCAGAGAAGAGGTTTCAGTCATCACGGCACCAGTAAACTCTATGCATGAGCTGTTCATGGCCCCTGCACTTAGATTAAGCTGCTGAAAAATGCACTCATCAATGAGCTCCGGTAACGCGCTGTTAGGTTGGTGGGGCAGTCACGCAATTGCAGTAGATCACTCATATAGGTACCAATTGCTAAGAACATGTGCTTATAGCGAGAGTGCGAGAAAACTCCAGTCTGTGGTGTATTTTAACACAGGCTGCATCGGTGTACATTCTGGGTTTCAAAGTGATTGTTCGTAGCGGTACTTATAAGACAAGCGTAACAGACTTGCGCAGAATATTTATACCCCAGTTTTGCGGTAAGGCACAGGATTTGAAAATTTACCTTATTTTGCTCAAGGTGCTACTCAGCTGATTATCTGCATTTGTTTTTTCGAAAAGGTAACCAGAGTGAGATTTCTCGGATTTATCTAGCAGCATGCAAAAGATCCTTAGGGGTATTGCTCCCTAGAGGACGACTGTATTTCGAAAGTGGTCGGTTTGTTACCGACCACTTCATCCATTTGAGGACGCGCATTCTCCCGTCAGATGAAAAATCAAGAAAAGCACCGAGCTACCGATACTTTGATACTGCAAAATCTCCACAAAAAACACTCATGTCCTGAATAGGATGATGCAGTTTACGCGCCACAACAATCTCTCCCATACATCGGGGCTCTCTTCATCGGACTTTCCGTCAATTTACCGCTTTCCAATATCCAGTTTTCGGACAGGCTGATTATGAGCGGTTCAATAAAGTTAAAGCATGCCCAACACGTGACCCATCGCTTAGGTCGCAGCTTTGTATCGGTGATTGGACAGAACAGACTTGACGGCATGAAGACAAGCAGCGAGACGTTAACATTTCTTCAGTCACGAAAAGCGAAACGTAATACTTTTATACGGTGGCGTAGAGAAACAAATAGGGAGAGAAAACAACAGTCTACAAGGGTGGAGTAGTGTAAGGTCACTTCCAGGCTGGACATTGGTTCCTGATCAGTAATTTCTAGAGGCAAAAGGTTGATCAGTATAGCTGCCCAAGATTGTCGCATCTTGTGAAGCCATAACGATAAACCATATCAGGACAACTTTCTTCGTGCAGAAATTATTCACCAGAAACCCATGCGTGCCTTGTAAACTGGTGTTATTTCTTCTCACTGTTGGCGTTATATGCCTGTTGTGTAAACGCACCATGTTTTACGTTCCATGACTGAAGGCGAATGAATTGTTGACATCGCTCTACTTAAATCTCCTTGTTGTATTAATGAATTGGATTAGGGAGGAATCAGTTTTTTCAAGAGTTGATTGCACCTCTGTTTCGAATGAAGCACTGTTGCGTTGCATGGTGTTATGACTATGATGCCAATAAGGCTCATCACAAAGTTGATGTCCGCCCGCATAGGACCGGCATTTTCGAGAACCTATGGTAAAATATCGATACACCTTCAGTGAAGAGGACTCAGAGCACGCGTTTATACGGACGAAAGTGTTGCGTGAATTCGCAGGGGACAGATGGAAAAGTAAATATCGGTGCATGAATCTACGTTAGGTGCCACACAATGTTATGAAAAATCACCGAATTTTCGACCGTTTTTACCGTCACGGTCAGGTTACAACACCTGACAGGCACGTTTAGGACAGTGTATTCCTGGTCGAATGCAACGTAAGTTATCATATATTCTCCAAAGTTAAAAATAGGGTTAGTTCGACGGTCTGGTCAGGTAGTTTGGTACCAAAAACTCTGAGTAGCTCTTCTTTTCGAACAATATAATCGGTGGGGTTTGTCGTCCATTTTAAATCGTGATTTCCTCTTGTCAATGAAGCCGTTCTATGCTCAAAATCCAAGCGCTGTCCAGCAGAACCTGAGTCAAATGAACACTTTTTTGGTTTCTCAAGACAACATGCACATATAATCACGACGGCTACAAGTGACCAACTTAAAGGCATCCATGCGATATCCGAATCTGCGCTTTGGGAGTGATAATCCACTGATTCTTCCCAGGGCTATTCCACAAGGTCTATGGGAGTAGATCAGGGATGTTTCAAAATTTTAAATTGAATGTCGCGAACGTGTTTGCCGTGCTAGCGCACGCGACAGTGAGCACGGTGAAGGTAGAGAGCTAGAGACCTAGGTTTCTTTGCGAGAAAGCGATGAAAGGCAGTTCGCTTATATATTTAATTATTACCTTGTAAATCCCGCACTAGACGTATAAAGTTAGCTAAGTCTACTTTCTTTGAAGACCAGCTTTTCAGCGGATGACTTTATCTGTTCAACTTGAGTATACACACAAGTTTAAGGAACGGATGTCCCAAGTGCTTTTCTCTGACAGCGAAATCAATTTTGAAGGAACTGATTTTACGCGAACACCCAGTGTAATCGTTGAACGGACTGTTGGTTGCCTGCTAGCTACTTGATCCCTAGTAGTCAAAAAGAGTCCGGGGAAAAAGGGACTCAGCGAGGTATGTATATTCAACGAAAAAAATTTCATCTTTAGTGAGAACTTTGTCTCATGCTAGTTTATAGACAGGTAAAACTTTCGAGAAGATGATTGAAACAACCAATCGCATTCAACTGAGGATTTTCAAGGTAAAGTAACCCTTGGTCTTCTAACAAGCAGATTACTTTGATGGGATAACTGAGTGAAGTGTGGGTTAAGTTCGCACGGGGACTATCATATTCCGGTTTCGACTGGAAAGGATTTGTTGCTGAAGACTTCGCAAAGTTGCACAACCCTACAAGTTTCATATAAAATGTGATCTATTGTGGCGCCACCAGACATATCACACCAATTACCTACTGAAGCACGAGTTGGAGATACCAGAGAGAATAAAGGGAGTGAGGAAGTCTTTTTTTAAAGAATGATTTTGAACCGGCTATGCGGACCTGCAACAGCAAGTTATTTGATTGTTCATTTTTTCCGCACAAGCAGATGATTTTTTTTCATCTGACAAACACGCTCATTTGCATACCTATTTGATTCACCTAAAACCAGCTGAATCTCTCGTCTACGATGTACTACTTCACAGGTTCTGGTGGCATCACCCGGTCTATCGCCGTTATTCGCCTACTGGAAATTTCTTCCTATAATCTTCTACAGGATAAATCTGCATGGTTGTAGGAGTCTAAATAATTTTTAAAAATTTTCCCCACTTATCTATCCGTCTGTCTGCTTGACCAGATTAAAGTTTTGCAAACTGGTCTATGTCGTGACCCTTGTTTTGCACTGGTTGACCGTTAAACACCACGCTTCCGGATAATTTCAACTCTTACTAATTAATCACTGTGTTGCCTCCCTGTTAGACGGAAACGGTCACTGTTCCGACTACTGGTCTACTTGATGAGGCTTTGGTGATAATTTCTAGTCCTCACTGTACCCGGTGCCCATCTGTGTGACATTATTCAGGACGTGAAATTGCTCAGCGTCGAATGCGGTCATTGAATCTGGTTGGATCAACGTCATCTTGCACGTTTGATTGCGTAATACTGCCTTCTGTATTTAACTGACCATACTGGCCGAATACAGCTGCATTAAAGAACTATTCATGATGTATATAGTGCATGATATTTTCCGTCGTTTGTAATGGTACATTATGAAACTTTGAGACCTGAACACTTTAGCCAGCATTCGCCGATCGTGAGTCACTCGTTTTTATGTGAATGTTTAGAGCAAAATTCAACAGTTCCGCCAAAAATTCTAGCCTACAGAAAATGTCAACATTTAGGAAACTAGTGGTTGTTGGTTCAGAGCAGGAAGTGTGCAAAGAGTGAAATATTTTCTGGACACGTTTGAATGGTAAGTAAATGGAAAGGATATTTTAGCAATTATTATGTTCATTTTGGGAGAAGAACAGATGCAGTCTACGTTTCAGAGAGGTTTGGTAAACAATCGGTGGATTTTGTGCTGGGCAAAGTTTCACTTTTGACGCAAAATCTTCATCAGGCCAAGTGAGTAAGTAACCAGATTGAGCGGGTTTTAAAGCAGTCGGAGAACCAATCCGTGAGGTTTCATATGACCAACTGACGTGATCAGTCCTGGGTGTCGGCTTGAAGTACCTGTTTGTTGGTTGGTGGAGACGACCAACATTTACGGTGGATTGGTTAGGGTGAATAGTCTTCATGCTGGAACCGGATGTCGCAGTCGCCTTTCCGGTCTAGGCACCTTGATGGAATATTCCTCTTGGGGGTCGTTCGCAAATTTTGTTCACCTGGGCTCACCAAGGGGTGCCGGGACAACTGGTTTGGGGATGGGGGTGGGATGGTTTACTTGGATCTAACTCTACTTGGATTTTGTACTTTGAGACCCAGGCCATTTCGCTGACTGCCTTTTGTCATCTCGGCTGATCTAAGACCGCTCTCCACACGTTTGCAAGTTCTACCCCCTCTATTCTATTCACACTGGGATGCTTGGCGATTTTCACCGCCTCGGCCACCAGTCGCTGTGGTGTGAATCTTAAACCCCGTCTCAGAATGCTCACATTTTCCAAATCTATCCAGTGTCTAGTGTATGCCCTGCCGAGCGCCGATCAATTTGGCTAGTCATGAGAAATCTCACTGATTGGTTCCCTGACTGCCTTACAATCCAATTAACCTATTAACATGTTCACGTGGCTCAGCGATAAATTCACCGATTGTTTGCCAAACCTCTCTGAAACGATGGCTACGCAATCGGTCTTAAGCATTTTTCAGTTTGACGCAGTCTACTCTTATTGAGCTAGACCAGTGTCTTATTTTCGGAACCATTGAGGATTAGTTAGCCTAGAAAAATTACGAAAGGCCGTATGTTTTTTTGGAGTAAGGAACTTTTGATGCAATGCGTTGCAAGCACAGGCGTGTCATTTTCGTTGACTAAAATCACACTACCGCAAAATCTGCCCGATTTAATTTAAAAAAAGTTTTCAGCGAATGCTGATAAATTAATCAATTTTTCATCACCCAGTCGAATGAGGTTGAATGAGTTGAAATCTATTTAACAAAATTAAGACCAGACCGATTTCAATGTGACTATTGTTCTTGTATGTGGGATGTTCATTGGCTTTGATATTTGTAACCGGATTTTCACCGAAATCAACCTGATGTAGTTGTCAGCGTTGAATTGACTGTGCTTCGACAGTCACTGATGTCAAAAATTCAGTCCACGCCACACTAGAGAAAAGAAGTCAACAGTTGGTGAAATTGGTAGAGTTTGGGGTCGGGAATGCGGTAACGGATTTAGATGAAACAAAATTACCTATAAAAATATTACATCGTCGATTCAAGGTCACATCATGTCTCGTGGAGTGAACCTAAGATAGCAAGGAGCCCTGCGGTTAGACAGCAGCGGGTTAGTAAACGCAGTCTTCTAGCTCTTCAAGCAAAGATTTCAACGCGTTTCGTGGATCGTCCAAAAAATTTCCATTACACAATAGTTTTTGGATCGAGATTTCTTCTTACGATTGAGGGAATAACAGTTCACACGACGAATGGACCTTCCATCTGAGAAGCCTGTCAACACGTGATCATGTAATTTCGTGCTTGGCTACGTGAGTTACCTTAAATCGTGCACAAATGCGGGTTAATCGCCTTGTTTATCAACTGCGTGTTGCTGAATGATCTGATATTCAACTATCAGGTCACGGGTTCGAATCTTCCTGGAGAAACATCAGGTTCGCGCTGTTGATGATTTTTAACATGGATGAAATAGCCGTACTCTAGTAATCTTAAGGCTATTGCAGATGCTTCTGAGCCGAACTGTTTGGCTAAGAACCCTAAGCGTTTGCCTGTCCAAACCACTGTAGTACCTTATAGCTACCACACAATACCATTGTAAAATAACGTCATGCCACAAAGGCCATAGATCTGGCCAGTCACTACTTGGCACATACATCGGGGATGATCAACAAATCTTTGGTACTGCTGATATTTTCGACTTCTTTCATTGGTAATTCTTACACTTTCCAGCACCCTTCATAAACGTTACCGTTCTGTATGACCATAGAGCACCGTAAGTAAGAGAAAGAATTAAATTGTTACAAAAGCGTAGTTGATAATTCAGTGGGACTGTGAATGCATCATCGGTTTTCCTTTCGACAGCTTCGAATGTTTGCCTCCATTCCCCACTCTATCCTATGTTTGATTCAGCCACCTTACCGGAATTGTTTCACACCTTCCATTATTCAAACATTAATTGCAGTATAAATGCCTAAGGCATATCCTGAAGTTGTATAACACTCATTCCTCCCATTCATGTTTAGTTAGGAGATTCGGGCTCTTCTCAAAATAGCTGCCTGAAATGCTTACCGAAGGAGCATTATTCTTTAAACATTATACATAAAGCTCGTCTGCAGCATAGTTTCTAATTAACTTTGAGCTACGGATTCGACGTCACTTGGTAACACCTAAGTACAACTCATATTTATTTAGATGACTAAATCAATCATTAGTAAAGTAGAAGTACATGTTCGAAATTCCTGGCTTCATAAAGACCAAATAAGCTAGGCGATTACGAAAGGGTACCGAGCTGAGTCGTCTCAAAATGTCGACTATAGACTCAAGCGAGTCTTGGAACCTTTGTCTTAGAACCCATGTTTTGCTCTGGCTTACTTGGCGTGTCTTTCGTGTGAATGAGTTTTACGTTAATATACGTAATGCACTAGTCATGAGGTCACTGAAAATTCTTCTACAGCCCACGTGCGGTTTTGCTCTCCTTGGCGCTCATCAGGTGGGCGCAGTCCCCAAGTTTTCATCAAAATTATGTTCTACTTAATACCAACTTGCACGAAATTAAAGAAATACACTCATTTGCAAAGTTATGAGTAGTGCATTACGAATATACATGTATAGCGATATCTCGACTATCGTAGCAATCGAAACATGAGGCGGCCTGGTGCAGCACAATCAGCTGCCTGGAAACATCACAAACGGGAGATTCAGCGGGATTCAGGTGAGTCTTTCGAAAACCAAATCATCTTGTAAACAAGTATGTTTCGACAAGTTTAATGTTGTTCTACGTTTATCAGTAGGAAGGAGCGTAGTGACCTCCAAAAATGGTTCTGTGACCTCAGATAGGGAAAACTGATCCAGACTGTGAATCTTTCGTGGTCTAAATCGTACACATCCGTCACTGGACGAGCTGTGGCATGTCTTTAAATTCGTATTAATAGTATTTATTGCGGTTAAATGTGATCAAAGTAGTCTCTATACAATCCACTAGATAGAGTTCCCTAAACAACTGAGTGCACTGTAGTTTCTCGAGGTCTCGAACTAATTTGGGAAGTATTATGATTAGTAATGCGAGCATTCCCTCGTCCCATCTGGATGTAATGGTGTTGTTCATCGATTCACTTATAGGTTTCGTAGAACTTGAAAGAAATAATCCTTCTAGAAAGGATGGTTCTTCATTCCGGGAGGAGAATTGCATTGATCCATATATTAGCTAAAAGATATTTTTTCAAATTTTTTTCAGGTTATCCAATAACGTATGGTGATAAATTAAGCCAGGGTTCACTAACGGCATAAAAGAAACAACTATCCTGCTTCAAAATGAGAGTTACGAAAGACGCTCAATAAATTGGACACCAGTTGAGCTGTTGAGGCTAAGATGATTAGGAGGTGACAGTTGTAAAGAGCAACTTTGTTTACAATTACGGGATGTGTTGTTGGGGATGCAACCGCAAAACTGTGCACTCAGTCTGTGCTGTGGATCGTATCGACAACGGTTAAGTTTCAGCCTTGTACATCAATGTTCTTCACCCCAAATGTGTACACTACCCGTAGACGCTAGGCGCATCCATGAAAATAAGAAGGAAGGCAAATATGCTCTCTTCGATCGGCAAAACTCCTCACAGCAGACGTAATATCATTTGCCACACAGTCAACCGAAAGCCTGAATGTCAGCTGGTTATAAACAAGATAAGGGTTAGCTTAATGCAACCCAGAGCAATTCACTGTGGCGTTGTATATTATCACACCTTATCAATCAGTCAGTCAGTCATAAACTAGACATTAGGACGCTTCCAATGATATGACTTCTCCTGACCGTTTTCTATATTAATTCGCGTCTGCCCTTAATGGACTGACTCGCGATGTACAATCCCACGAGGCATGGCAGACAACTACTGTTCGATGACTTTTAGCACTGCAACATTATTTGTCTTTGCTGCTCTCCTTAGCCAGTGTTTAAAAGAGATGGATTGGGTTTTGTACCCGAAGGTCTCACCCCGCACATCGAACCAGGCGGGTGGTATTGTTGGAAGCTGTCTCGACATTTACACCAACAGACTGTACCAGTGGGCACACGAACTTTTTTCTCATCGGGCTATTTGAGAAAAATGACTATTGTCTGTGACCCGCCAAATTACAGGCTATAGCGAGGGCAATGGTGTTTTCCTCCACAATGCTACATACTGTATTAGACCTCAAGCCGCTTTTCATCACCCAACAGTGCATCGTCGTCCATAATCAGAAAGACAAACTGAAACGGATAATAAGTTACCACCAATATTGATATTATTGTGACTGGTCTTCCAACCCTGTTTCAGCGGCTTTTCATGAGTGAATTTTTTTCCGAGTAATCTATGCATAACACAGCGTAAGGCCGACATACCAGCGTTCACACTGACAGTGTCCTCACTTAACGGTGCAAAGATGGTCTCTACCGCTATCCCCTTTGACAGTATTCATCTCAACTTCCAGCATCGAGATTCAGACCGTTGTCTCTGGACTACACAGGTCGGTGCTTTTTTCGACTGCAGACAAGATTGCAACATACCCACCGTACAGCTACAGCCGATTCTTGTTAATTTTATAGGTGATTTACCCTCTGAATCCTTAAGTGTTTTATGTTCCTCTTCTCAGGAGTCCAAAATCACGGTGGGTTTATTTGACGGCTGGGATTCCAGTGAGTTGTTGTGCGCTAGTGATCCTGAGATTCTAGCTCAAAATATTTCTGCTGCAGGTTTGATTGTTCTCTCCTAATCACTTTCGCGCATCTTAGCGTTAAGTACTTCAGCCAACAAAACTCATTGTTGGGATTGTCTGCTTGACATTAGTGAACTACCTGGAGACCATCACTCAGGAACTGTCTTGTCGGTCTTACTGAACTGACAGTCGTGAAGTCAGTCAGGATTGGCTGTCGAGTGAATTTCAACATCCTTTAGAACTATCGAATCGAAACTGTTCTCGGATTGCAATTGGTCTTGCAAATTAACACATCCAGACACACTACAACTGTTTATCTCTGTAAGCTGATTCGAATACCCTGACTCACGTGAGTTTAGAAAGGATAGCCGCCTGTGTTGACATTTGAAAGAGTTGCGGATGCCACCATCAATTGGTTGAAGCGGACTGATCACGTTCAGTAAGATGCCGTTCATAATTGTATTGGACAGCGAGACTGATACTCAGTAATTTTGACGGTTCTCTTGGGTCTGATCATGTCTAACGTCAGAGTTCATTGTGGTGAAGTCCATAGCTGAAGTCATGCTTGCGCGTCCTTGGTGCGTCCACACACTCATCGATCTTGTCAGTTTACCGGATTATAGGTTGAAACATCAAGTAGCTGTATGGTGGATATGTTGCAACCTTCTCTTTGCAGCCGAAGAAAACACCGACCTTGGGTTTCCAAGGTCAGCGGTTTGAATCTCGATGCTGGAAGGTGAGATGAGTGAAATCCAGCAGGAAATGCGAGAAACCNATGCTTGCGCGTCCTTGGTGCGTCCACACACTCATCGATCTTGTCAGTTTACCGGATTATAGGTTGAAACATCAAGTAGCTGTATGGTGGATATGTTGCAACCTTCTCTTTGCAGCCGAAGAAAACACCGACCTTGGGTTTCCAAGGTCAGCGGTTTGGATCTCGATGCTGGAAGGTGAGATAAGTGAAATCCAGCAGGAATTGCGAGAAACCCCTTCGGTTGAAGTTACTTGTATGACAAATTCCAGCATAAGTACAGTACCAACAATCATCCAACGGGTCAGTGTCACTATGCAAGTGGTTGAAATATTGGTGAACAAGTAGTAAGGTCATTTCAACGGCTTTTGAAGGCGGGGGACACACTCATATTTTTGTAAATCCCTTGGAGGGGGCGTATGATATTTCAGTACAAAAAGGGGATACCATTTACACCCACCAAACACGTCTCATGTGAGAAAGTCAACTCGTCATATGCGTTGTGTATGGCAGGTGACTCACTGATTCTTTCGTGAAAGTTAAAGTGACTGTTTTCATCGAAATAGTGGGCAGTCTTTCGAAACATGTCACTCTTCACAAAAACCGAGTGGACCGGGATTCAAAACATGAGCAAAACAAATCTCTGCTGCAATTAGTCTAAGGCCTCATCCTGTTAGTCCACTGTCGTGCAACCGCTTGTTTATCAGGATGGTATTTCACTTTCTGAGAGTTTTGAACTGTTATTCTCGTTAACAGCTTGTTCTAAGTTAGGTACACAGTATGCCCCAAGTATGGTGCTGGGAGGAAAATGCCTATCTATTAAGGTAGAGACCTTGTATCTCAAACGTAACTCAGACTGGCGAACAGATGTTGGCTGCGATCAGACAAAATATCGCAACAGATGTGGTTAAATAGAAGTAAGCTGTTGCGTTATAAATTCAAGGTAGGGAAGTCAGTGTCTGTGTGCTGTTTGCAACTACCGAGATGAACTAACGCTATCGTAAGCTGAAACGGAATTTCCTAACGAAATTATGGGAAAATATCCAACTGAGATTTCTTAGCTTTTGTTTACACGTTTCGGTAAAACTTCTGCGTATCAGTGGGATCTCTGAATTCAGGCAAACGAAAACAACGAGAATGTCACCAAGCATGTGTAACTAGCTTTTGGAAAACTTTGTATTGACGGCTGAGGGCCACACGTTCGGTCGATCGTTTCGCCACATCGATTAGGAAGCCTCTGTTCCACTTTTCTGACTCACAGCCAGCCGGTTTTCTCTTCTATTTTAACCTATTGTGTGAAAAAACTGAAATATGACTGACACAGGTTTGCCACAAAAGAATGTTTGGTTCAAACAATGAGGCTCAGTATTTGATTAACTATGCATAGTTCAATATTTTTTCAAAAAAATAGTCTGCCAGGATGGATGGTAATGCTCTTTTGCTGAACTCCGAGGTATAACCAGGATTGTTTTCTCACATTAGTGATCCGAAATTTTGTCGAAACGAACGAGGAATTTGAGGTTGCATTTTTTTCGGAAACTATGATAGACGAATAAGGTGTTGAGCTTTGGACGGTAGCTTCTACTTGCTTCATATTACATCACCTCGCTAGCCTCGATTTAACAACTGAACTTTCTTAACAGGCTGTGTTAGTTGGATTATGAAAAAAATAAACTTACCAGCAAGAAATAACAGCAAAATACCGGATTTGAAATAATTTGAAATTATAGCACCTACAATCCTTTGCTGTCGACAGAGAAGCAAGGATGTTCATTAGTTGCCAGTGCTGAATGAAATCCTGGCGTTACCTTCTATCTACAGATATGACTGTTGCAACAGATTTCCCGTCTCTCATGTTCTGAAATTTATCTGCAGTTCAGCCACTTTGTCTCACTTTACCACTAAGAAAGTCTCAGTATAAATCACGATCAAACCATGCAGTAGTGAATACGTTCGCCTATTCAGACGTAATAGGTCAGGGGCATTTAACGGGTGCTGGTGGAGTAGAAGTTGCACGCTAGCGAACGCACTACAGAGGTTAATAGCCTGTAGTACTGATGATTAGCTGGAATATGAGAGAACGCAGGTCCAATGCTTTCCCTCTTTGGTGTGGACTTAGCAGAATAATTTTGACAAGACAGGCAGAGAAATATCAAGATGACATGAATCACAACCTTTATCTTGTAAGTGAATTAAATCTATTTCGAAAATCCAAGAAACACTACACAGATGTTTCGTCTTTATTTGCGTCTATCAGCAGCGTGCATCCCACCAATCGTCATGACTCGCGGCCTCCCGTTCCGAACACTGAAAACTCAAATGAGATGAGCACCGCTAATAACTCCCAAAAAAGGCGAAAGAGATGTATGGCATTGCTCTGTGTTTCGGCACAGATTGGCTTCACTCACAGGACGAAATCTCGGTTGAACTTCCTAAGTCTTCTCAAACTATTTACATGAGTCTGTCGAGGAACTGTGTCATGAACGCTAGAGACTTGCAACGAAAATTACCTGCTCTTAATTGGCGTATGATTCAATGACCATCAAAATCCCAACGTTGATATGCCAGTTTAAATTGGTCGTTATTTAATCGAACTACGGCAGGATAGGATGACCGACCATTTCACCTGGTGTCCGGAGAAGGTGTGATTGATGTGGCTATCCATGGAACTTACAGGTACGAGCCACGCAATAATCTCTGCTTCATAAAAGCCCTAATTAGCAGAGTTGGAAGCAGTTCTCACTTCAACACTGGCTGAATTCGAGTTTCAACTAAAAATCAGGCTCAGATCATATGGTGCAGTAAAAACTTTTTCCCTTTTAAATACCAGAGTATAAATGGGTGTGATATAACTACGATTAATAAATGTATGTGTTACCGATGGTAATCACCAACCGATGGCCACTTCCGTCGATACATATTAGCACTAATCAATGAAAAGTACTGGTAGATTCTCACCAGAGCTACTAAGCCATGAAGTTTAGTTAAACGTTCCCGGGTTTCTTCAACTCAAGACAGAAATGCTCTAATAGTACAACACTACCCCCTGGTAAAAAACGAAGTAACACTACCGACCAGTTTGAGCCGAAAATATAGCTTCATATGAAGCAAATTTCGCCCGCCGCGCATGTTATTCTACCAGGACACCAAATTTGGTTTCTTTATCTCTCCCATTCGATTTTTTAAAGCCAATATTTTTGCCTTTCGCAGAATTATCTGAATCATGAGGCGGCCTGTGTGCAGCACACTCAGTTGTAGAATATCGTAAACGAGAGATTCAGTTGAGTCTCTTGTGAAAGTCAAAATTGATTTGCAAATGAGCAAGCACCCCTCTCTACTGGACTTCTGGAATCTTCTTGCAGCAATTTTCCTGCATAATTCATTGATGGATTTAACCGGATTATCCGCAGAATGCCCTCTATCATTACGGACAAGAGCCTTTTCTTGTCTGAGCTTTCTGTGAACACGTGAGCATCTATTCGTCTGGATTAGGACACTTGGAAGCAAATTTAGTTTATGTATCTCTCCCATTCGATTTTTTAAAACCAATTTTTTTGCCTTTCGCAGAATTATCTGAATCATGAGGCGGCCTGTGTGCAGCACACTCAGTTGTAGAATATCGTAAACGAGAGATTCAGTTGAGTCTCTTGTGAAAGTCAAAATTGATTTGCAAATGAGCAAGCACCCCTCTCTACTGGACTTCTGGAATCTTCTTGCAGCAATTTTCCTGCATAATTCATTGATGGATTTAACCGGATTATCCGCAGAATGCCCTCTATCATTACGGACAAGAGCCTTTTCTTGTCTGAGCTTTCTGTGAACACGTGAGCATCTATTCGTCTGGATTAGGACACTTGGAAGCATCACAAAAGAGCGACCCAGCTAAGTTCTAAGTGAGTTCCTGGAAATGCCAAATTATTTTGCAAGTGTATATTTAGCTAATTTCGTGCAATTTGGTATCAGGTAGAACATATGGTTGACGGAAACTCGAGGACTGCGCCCACCTGATGAGCCTCAAGAAAGGCCGAACCGGTAGTGGGTTGTCGACGAATTTTCAGCAACCTTATGAGTAGTGCATTACGAATATACATGTGTCGCGATATCTCGAGTATCGTGGCAACTGAAACATAAGGTGGCCTGATACAGCACAATCAGCTGCCTGGAAACATCACAAACGAGAGATTCTGCTTGGTTCCAGGTGGGTCTATCGCGAAACGAAAATTAGTTTGCAAGTCAGTATATTTCGTTAGGATACCTTCGGTTTGCACGTTCAGTCATTCCTGATGATCAACAACACAACAAGGGTTCATGATACGCTCAGGTCTGACACATTCAACCCCCACCGGGAAATCGGAAAAGTTCTGGATACTGACAGTGGCCAAAAATCATGTTTTTGAGCAAATTTAACAAGTGGTTCGTAGTAGTATAATTCGACACACCTATGACTAAAACATACTTGCGGATGGAAGAAGTTTGGAACCGACTGAGCGGTCATCGTTTCAAAACGGCTTGGCAAACAACCGGTAGTTTTTAATTGGGCCCAGTTAAAAACTACCTATTGTTTGCCAAGCCCTTCTGGGGCGATACTTGCGAGTGGTTTATACCAAACTGCCCGGTAAACATCGGGATTTGTTGGAATCACGGTTACCAAACCGATCCCATATTCAACCCAGAGCTGTCACCTGCGAATGGAAGAGAGCCTCCGCTGCGGAGTTCGCTTGTTGAAAAACACCAACTGAAAAGTGACAGACAGCAAAACTATCATGTGCATCTTGTTTATAAAAACTGAATATCCGTCTTCTTCTCGAAAGCGTCTTGCTGAACATTCTTGGATACTCATTGACCATCACTCAAACATAAACGAATGCTACGAAGCGATTTCACAAATTCCGTAATAAATCTCACTTTTCAATAGACGCGAAGCGGACTTGTGAGAAAAACATTCTACTCGCATGCTTCATCAGTAGTATCCACCGTTACACCTGGTGCTACTTCCTAATGATTTAGATTAATAAGCTAGTAAATGAACGACGGTTCTTAGCCAGCTCGGCTCAGAGTCAGTAGGGACCAGTTACTCCAGTGATCGATTTCTTGTTGAGTTACTATTATATTATTGCAAAATTTTTATAGTGGTATTTTAACTCGGATAAAAAACGGCCTGCGCAGTCTGAACATAACTGATAATGAATCAGTAACATGCGCCTGCATATCTGTGCATGGAGCCCGTCCTGCAGTTTTTGTACTTGCTAGTCAGGGTCAAACAAGAACCAAAAATAATAACAAAACATGTGATGAAGGTGTACCCTAAAATCACGATAAAGTAATAATTAGTGGGAACTGGAGAACCAATGAGTTATTGTGTGTTCGTTTGCTATCTTCCGTAGATTTCGCGAGTGTTTCGGCTTCTCCCCAGCTTATGGGTCCAGGCTGAATAAGGTCACTTAACCATTAAGACCCGCCTGAATTTTGCTTGCTCTATGCTGTATGAATATGATGCTACGGTCCACCGACTCTACACTTTGCGTGAGCTTTTGTAACAGCTAAGGACGTGTGAAAACTGAAGGCTAAAGTACATATGACCTGGACTATCTTCCGCTGATGGACTAGTGGTTGGCTTCAATTCAAACTATCAAATTCAAGAGTGGCAGAAACAAATCCAATAGCTTACAATATCCTTGTCCAGATTCGTGTTGCAATGTGACTACTTTAGACTCAGTGTGTTTTAGTTCCCTCATCACTCCTGGCAGAAACCTGCAGCTGTTGGCACAAAATGCGTTGATCACTCAGCTGCATACCCGCATATAGACAGATACACTTGAACATCAAGAACTTATAGGGAGTTACAATCCTCCGTGAATCATCTCAATATTTATTGTTATTCTGGACGATGTACTGTGTAACTTCCCACAGTCCGGGGACATGGAAGGCTTGAAATGATAAGCTATTATTTAATGGAAATTTTGTTAAGTCCACTCCGAAAGGACACTGAGGTTTTCAGGACCGACGAAGTCATATATTGCTCATTCACCCAGGGTCATTACCCTCCATTCCAGCAGACTAACAAAATACGTGAAATTGTTTATTGTCGACCTTGGGTTTCGTGATTTCTATTTATGGGTTCTCATGAGCCGATGTGTTGCTATCTACCTGCGTTAGAAACAGATGTTTCTGGTCAAATCCCGGCAATATCGATCGCTTCCATTTGGATTAGCTCGACAAGTCAATGACTGCTTTCAAAAACACTGACCCAACGCCTTAAACTACAACTGTCTCGCGTACAATCGCATTTGTGCGGGCTGAAATGTGAGTGAGGTGGGATTGGGATGTGAGTTAGGGACGGAAGGCAATTATTACGAAACAGGATGAATATTTCAAAGCAGCCTGACCTAATTGAAGACCAAAATACTTTTTGATGTTGCTAATTCGTCTGTGATTATTTGGTAGACAACCAGCGATTTGTTGCTATGGTGCCAGCGCGTGATGTACCTGAACGGATGTGGCTAGCATGAAATGGAGAGGGCGCTCAAGCACAGAATCTCTTTGTGCACACAGAGTCGGCACGTGTCACCCAAAGGTCAGCGAGTCGGCGACAGCAACGCGAAAGATAGTTATAGTTACGGCAGTTGTAGACTTCACGTCCACATCGATTCCGTTTAAACAATCCTCCTCTTGTCCTAGAGCAGTTATTCTGTTGAGTCCACACTAAAGAGGAAGCCCTGGAACCAAGTTTTACTCTTATTAGAGCTCATCAGCAGAGCATGTCACGCTTTGAACTCCAGACATCTGACATGCGAGGCAAGCGTGTTGCCGCCACTCCAATGGTGCACGCTGGACGCAAGTGGTACAGCAGATTCACTAGACGAAGGACATCAGAAACGAGAGACTCAGCTAAATTACAGGTGAGTCTTCCGCGAAAACCAAATCCGTATGAAGATGATTGTGTCAGTCGAATGAAGGAACTCGAGGACGAAAACCCGCCGGTTTATTTAGAAGTGCACACCGTGTTTGAAGTTTGCGGAGGATTTAACTTTGGAAATGCGAGTCACTCAGGTTCGTGTGTTGAGTACGTCGGAGAATTAGGCTGTATTACTGCAGCTGACGTGAGGAAAAAAGTTTTGAATCTCTTCTATCAAAGTTTTGTTACGTTCTATTAAAGATGTAATGGCTACTGCAGGAATAACATGAGTGAGTACGATGAGGAGAGGATTACACTAAGCGTCTAGCGGGGCGGTGTTAGTACAAACCATTATATCAAGGAGCGGAAATCTATGGTTTTATCTGTGTTCCGTGCTGAGGTGTGAGTGGGTCGTGCATCTAGAGATTGAACAAGTCAGTTTACACAGCCCAAAATTCTTCACTGAAGAGCCATGGTACTGTCAATTTCCTAGTGCCGCTTTTATTACACAATTGGATTAGCGAGTTGTAAAAAAGAGAACGCCTTTATCTTATCTTTTATCGAAAATTTCGATGGCCGACGATGCTGATGTTCTGGTGTGAGAAATTCATCTAGCCGAAGGGTCAGGATACTCGCGAAAAGAATCAATGCTTGTGTGATTGTGCTTTACCCGAGCTAATCTGCTTTATCTCTGTCGTAGGCACTGGTTTGACACGTCGACGGGTCGTTCAGGAGCGGAACCACAGAACGACTACAGACACACAAGGTTCAAAAAAGGCCAACAGACCCTTGTGTTGGACGCTACCTCTCAGAGCTAACTAGTCATCCGTTAAAGTAAGCAGAAGTAATTCGCGGATACGATAATGTCCAATGTGAAGCACGTTTATCGTTTTTAGTGGGCCAGAAACGAAGCTTGGATCCAAAAGTAAGCAATCCAGTCAGCAATACTTCTTCGACTGATTAGCAGTTTTAATTTGACAAAGTCTGCATGAATGTCTTCAAACATACTGTTTATTCCATGAAATGGCGTTTTTTACATGCGTCCCCATGCATCCCTTCATAAGAATACCGATGAACTGAACTCTTGAGGACTATTAAGAATACGAGAATGAGGGTCGATGCACCAACCCGGGCCCATGAAGGAACTCACTCTAGTGACGATGAGTCGACTTCATGTTAACAAATGAATTCAGTATGAGAAAATGTGGTTTGGCTAACCTACTAAAACACTTGGTGCAAGATAAAATGACTACATCAAACACCTTGTACTTGACAGCTGCTTAGCATACGGAGTTGAGTATTCAACTGGGTGCAGTTCCTTTAGTTTCCCCTTCTTTGAGTTCCCCAATCCAACCTGGGGTGTAGTGCTAAACCCGAAGTTTCAGGCTTCGTAATGATGTGCTCACTGTGCGAATGTGCTAACTTGTAAGAATGCTAGAATTTGAAGCACGTTTCTCGTTAGAAAAAGATACTTTGGAATGGAAATATACCGAACGAAAATCACATACTGAGCTGCTGTAAGGATGGAACCCAACTGAGTTTCTCGTAGTTGTCAAATGTTCCTTACCCTATTCATGAAGTTTTTCGTTTTTACAGGGTAAGTGAATACACCGGGAGAAGTTCAGTATGGAGTATCGCATTAAGTTCCCTTTATGTCTCCAACCAGCATCATTGAAGTACTGATCGAGATTCGACACCGGTCTTTCAGGACTACCGAGAATAACAGTCTGACGTTTTGTACACCCCAGACATGAAACATTCTTGAAGCCACACCATAAGAGGTTGATTATTTTGAAGCTCATGTGAAGTTCACTTTAATACTGACTGAATAGGCGGGTGTGTGATATGTCTAACCCATGGTTCACGTGCATCATGGAAAAGCTTGAAATCGGGTGTGATGTAGTTAGTCAGAGTATGGTGTAACAATTCTAGCATTTCGGTTACCCTACGTAACTTCTGTACAACACAGCGGTGTACATCTGCTGACTTCGAACGTTCATCAACCCTTGTCGAACTCGGACGATTTCTATAGTGCGCACGCACAATATTCTGCAGAAGCGTTATGCTTTTATTCAGTACAAACCTAATCCATTCTGGAAGCCTAATAATCTTAATGGCTTTCTTCGCCTAAAGGGTTGGAAAGAGAAGTGAGTTATGGCAAAATGAAAGCCAGAAAAATGGCACAAAACAATATGTTGATAAGTGTCCAAATTAAGGCCAACAAGATGGAATAGAAAATGTCCTCAGCTTGTATATTGAACATGGTGCTCTACTTCTAACGTGCTGCTCCACTTGCTGAAAATTCTTCGACAGCTCACGACCGGTTTCTTCTCGGGGCTCATCAAGTAGGTTCAGTCCCCGAGTTTCCATCAACCTTATGTTCTACTTGATACCAAATTGCACGAAATTAGCGGAATAGACTCATTTGCAAACTAATTTGGTTTTTCGAGAGACTCAGCTGGGTTCCTGATGAGTCTCTCGAAAAACCAAATTAGTTTGCAAATGAATGTAACTGGCTACTTATGCTCTACTGTTTAGTTTCTGAAGATCCTAATAACAAATTCATTTTCTCTTTGAAAGGGGGCCATACATCATAACGAAATAGCACCGTAGCTGCCTGAATAAATGAGAGACCTGTTGCAACGTTTGAAGTCTTCCAGTTTTCTGCATATTGGAAGCGGCTTAGAGGATAGGTGTAAATTCCCTCAAACGAGAAAATCACAAGAGGCACTTGCACGAAAAATTTACCGTCGATGTTACTCCCAGAGGAAGCAAAGCTTTTGGTAAAACAATGACACTTCTTGCCTAGTTCATCAGCCCACTATTTTAATAGAGCCATCTTCGGTAGCTATTGTAAGGGAGTTGAAGCTCCAAGTTATAACATACTTTACAAACACGAACCTCTAGATCGACTGTTTTTGGCCAATTTTTCAACGGTTACTTTGGGTGATGATGAAGTCAACTCACAAATCCGCTCAACAAGTACACTGACATATTTCTTAAACTATCCACATGTACACTGGCCTATTCATTCCAGTTTGAGTGACCAAAACGAACGGCAAACGGAGGCGACATTTTGTCTGATCTGGGCACAGAATGGACACCGAATGGAGTTTTTCGATGAAAGGTACACCTAGGTGCTTTATATAAATTTGTTGTTGGTGTTGGATTTACTGTATGGTCAGAAGACTCAGTTGGATGAGCTATTTCAAAAGGTCACGCAAGACACTCTACTCTATTCATCAATTACTGCAACCAGATTTGCTTTCAACGAAGCTCGCAGGCGGGCAAGATTTATTTGGAAGTATCATGCACGGCGTTTGTTCGGTATACGCTCTGACCAGATTCTAGCTCCTCTACAGCGTAATTTCGCAAGAGATCTCCAAGGTAAACACCAGGTACTTGGAACTTTCACCAAGCTCCAGAGGGTTCCACTGAAATTTTCCATCTATGCTAGTCACTCCTGTTAACAGAAGGCGGCGGATTAACTTATTAGAAACTTAGGCAAACTCCAGTAGCCCAACGGAATACTCCTTACTCATCATATTATTCGAAATTCGTCGGCTGGAATCGGCTTTCTATATTATCTTTCTGGTGAGGGCAAAAAAGAAGAGAAACGGGAAAGATTTATAAAACTACATGTTCGTCTGCACTGAATTCTCTTTTAAAAACCAGATTGCACTCTGTAATCCTTGCCATCCACCACAGTTTTTTTCAGGAGTTAATTTCCCGTCCATTGTTGACAATAGTAATCTGTAAAGGGATTAGCTTCTAATAACGCACATTCCGGTATATAGACTCCAAGACATATCCACGTCAGCATTCTGTTATTCATGCACCGCGTCCGCAATTTTATGCATTTGAGGAATGCAAGTAAACCCATGCTTTCTTTATTCAGCTTGGGAAAATTTCCAGATATGAAACTTTTTCATTTCCTGTTTTCCAGTCTCAATTTGACGACAAATCGACCGAAACTGGGAGTTTTCTACAGAAGTATCTTTACTTTTTTTTACCTTAAGCTCAACTTCCAAAAATAGTTTAGCAGCACCAAATGCACTCCAAATGCCCGGATTAAAAAATGACAAACGATATCCGGAGGAGCACGCATATAATACATGTCTGTCTGTTCCATTTTTATACTCATTCAGGATTTATCTGGCCCAAGGCCTAGTGTTTTTAACGGTTATCGTATTCATTGCTCCAGTATACTTATCCGTACCAACGCCAGCCAACTGTATCCCAACGGCTTTTTGCCCTTTTTGTTTGTGTGAACCAGACAGCTACGTACATACATTTGTATTTGGGACGGATATGTTTACATCCCATAGCTTCGAACAGAAGGATGGACTTGAAGTTAGGACAAACAAGGGAAAACTTGCTTCAAGCATACTGAATTTTGCAGATAGGTACTGTCTCACAAGAGTAATAGAAAGTCCTTATCTTTCTGCGGCTGCATTCTACGCTGTCCACCGAGAATGAGAGTCAAATGTCGTCAAATATACATAACTATCTACTTGAGGCCTGATAATTCCTGACTGTTCAGGAATCGAAAATGGAACCGGTAGACTTTTATTGCAAGATGACAGCTGTGGGCATACCCCTTCCTCCATTAGCGCAACAAGCAGCGCACCAAAGAGTTTTTTGGATCTCATATGCATACAACTAGTACCATAGGCATGTCATAATTGAATTTCAGGTTGACTATGAAGTGTGTCCATCCTTCTGTCTAGGATCCACATGCAGTCACATTTTGGTTTTGTTCCGCAATGTAGTTGTCTTGATTTTGTATTGTAGCACAAAACTGAGCGTGTGTGGGAATTCATTTGGGTTAACTTTCCTCAGTGAGACAGCTAATGCTGTAGAAATTACTTGCTAAGGGAATCGGACATGTATATTTGTAATGTACTACTCATAAGGTTGCTGAAAATTCGTCGACAGCCCAAAACCGGTTTCGCCCTTCTTGGGGCTCATCAGGTAGGCGCAGTCTCCGAATTTTCGTCAACCTTGTGTTCCAATTGAAAACGAATTGCAAGAAATTACCGAAATGCACTCATTTGCAAACTTATTTGGTCTTTCGAGAGACTCACCTGGAACCCAGCCGAATCTCCCGTTTGTGATGTTTCCAGGCAAGTGAATGTGCTGCACCAGGCCGCCTCATGTTTCAGTCGCCACAATATTCGAGATATCGCGATACATGTTTATTTGTAATGCACTAATCATAAGGTTGCTGAAAATTCGTCGACAGTCCACTACCGGTTTCGCTCTTCTTGTGGCTCATCAGGTGGGCGAATTCCCCGAGTTTCCGTCAAACTTTTGTTCTACTTAAAACCAAACTACACGAAATTAGTGAGGTACACTCATTTGGATACGCTCATTCAGTTGCCTGGAAATATCACAAGCGAGTGATTCAGCCGGGTTCCAGGTGAGGCTCTCGAAAAACCAAGTTAATTTACAAAAGAGCGTACTTCGGGAATTTGACATCCTTTCATTTCCGGGTGACTTGCAGTGGAGTATTTTCAAACAAACCTACAGCCCGCTAGATCGTAGTTGTGTTTTTTCCCGAAGACCATGGGGTCCAGTACCTGCATCGATTTTTACTCAGGTGTTTTGAGTCCCACAGCGAAGTTCAGAGGAACGTGAATGGGTTTTCTGAGCATATCCCTTTGAATAAATAATAATAATAGCTCGGTTATAGCACCATTCTGGTAACTGGTTGCCCAAGCCTAGACATGAGGAGTCAAGATTCTGAGGTTAGGTTCAAACCACGGACCTTCCAGACGTAAGGTAGCACATTAACCACTGATCTATATCGAGCCCTTTGAACGAGTGAAATACGTGCTTAAATTTGACTTTAACCAGGAGAAACTTAACTTTGTATTTATTTGAGTGAAATACTGGTGATTGACTGTCACGTTACAGCCGAACTTGTTCACGTTACCAAATAGTCAGGCTTACGGTATTGGCGCTTCTAGGAAACTGAACTTGGCAGTTGTAACGTTGCATCGATGAGAGGGGTTGACTTGTCGAACTGAAGGTTGACCGATGGTTACTCACTGCGTGATCTTGATAAACGAAACTCAACTACATGCTACCATCACAACTGTTCTAGACAGAGAAGTAAGTCAACACCAAACAGCTTCAGGCACCTTTGTTTTTCGCTTCCGTAGCACTTAGAAGGACCGAGATCTGTAGAAAAGCCATGTCTTGCAATTCCGAATGATTAATCCAACAGGGCGTACGTCGGGTGACGCAGTCTACAGCCTTAAAGTGATTGCTTAAAGGGTAAGTTAGTAGGTTTTAGCCATCTCTTATATTGTCCATTAGCATTCAAAGCCCGTCTCCCGCTTTCCGCTAGTCTTTTAAAGTAAAGAAGTGCAGTGCAGGGTACAATTTTATAAAAGGCTTTGGACGATCTAAATTTTTCACTGCACGCTTGAAATATGGAGCGTTCATATGCCACAAGACCTGCAATTGCCCGCCACGTCTTGTTGGCTCAGTTAGTATCCGAACCCATTAAATCGACCTCATTGCATGATACGACTGAATGGAGAAGTGCTTGCATACAGTAAGCCAATGTACCTCTTCAGTTCGTATAACAGAAATTGTAATTCAAGCCCAAATATACGAACTTGATGGACGCCAAGATGGTGGTATGGTAGAGCCATCCAATCTACATTTCTTTCATGTCGGAGTAATAACGGATATGATGTACAATGAGGTTTACTTGGAGCTCAAGTCACTTATTCTAGTGGCACTAATGAGCCAAGAAAACATGAACACTTAGGGCTAGCGTTCGCCAGATTAATTACAGACTAGTTTGCTAGTAAGCGATTTATGCCCTGTCCTGCTACTGCGGACGGGCAGTTGAAACCATAGCATTAGTCTACGAAACCACTGTAGCGGAAACAAATGGTCTGCTGAATTTGGGACACGCCAGAGTAGCCTCGATTGATAAGAGACCTGCGGCAGAGGGACGAAACATACCGTCTCATGAAAACCACCATACTTCTGGCTATTGAGACCTACCAGTGGGCTCCACGGTCACAAACTTTACATGTCTCACTACGTTTTTGCCGCAAGTCTAGTGCAGCTTAGCAACTAGTAGTCAGACCGGAGGATCGAAGCGAGGTTCGGTCACCAGCGCTTACAGTCCGACACAAGTGATGGCATGGTCAGCTATTCACCATGAGCTTCTGGAGCTGAGCGACCGAGTTCATAAAGCTATAAAAGTCTTGGACCTCAAATCCATGGAATGTCAATATATTCTTGCTATTCCGGAAACGGTCCTACCTTAGTGGGAAGATGTGGTAGGTGCATCATCAACCCAAAACCCAGTGAAGTTCTTTACTAGGTATTCAAACAGTCATGGAATGCATACATATCACTCAGTCTCCAGCAAATCAAGCTACGTCAATGCGTGCATTGATTTGAGAAGCGCTCTGCATGCTTGCTTTGCGTGTCTGATAACCCTAGCTGATCATATACAAAAAGAATGAGCTGCCGCAGAGGCGAATTTTGACTCTGTTGCCTTCCGCTTGGTACACGCTAGTTACAGTGACCCAGTCAGGCAACGAATGGGAAATCGGCGTTTCTATAACATCCACAAGTGTAACCATCTACAAGTAATTGTATTCTTCGAGAAATACACTAATTTGCAAATCAATTTGGTTTTTACCGGGTACTCAACTGAATCTCTCGTTTATGATATTCTACAACTGAATGAGCTGCACACAGGCCACTTCATGATTCAGTTGGCACGATATTCGAGATATCGCAGTATATTTTCATAAAGGAAACTGCTCACAAGGTTGCTGTCGAAGAGTTTTCAGCAACCTTGTGAGTAGTTTCTTTCACGATAATTATATTCTTGTTCTGTTGCTGTCCTTTACTTGAACACACGGAGCACTTCTACTAATTGCAATTCTTGTCCTTACAACAGATACAGTCAAGGTCAATGAATTCTCTGCTGCTGAATTACATAGTTTTGTATGACCTTTGCAGATTGTTGTTTAACAAAGCTGTTGCGTGCGCATGCGAAAAACACTGGGTAAACAAACAGACAATCAGTTCGACCTTCCTGACAAACACAAACAACAGCAACTGGTTTGATGTTACCAGCTTTGGCAACGGTGAATGAAACTGTTGGAGATATTCTAAACGTGTATCCAAGTGGATGAAGGGATCGAATTGGTTCTTCAAACAAACTCTTGCACACCATGCCAGTAACTGAATAGGTGTAAGACTGTGATTGCAAGCCTAACGTGCAAGAAGGATCAACCTGGAAAACGTTCATTTGTCTCCGCTGATTGACAATTTTTGGTGTAATATCGTGCTAGCGTCCTGAGGACAAGCCCGGAGAAGTTTTACTTAGTTTGTCATGTTAGATTCTTGCGAAAGAATTCAGGAAATCTGTTCAGTGCATCAAGTCTAATGCTCCTTATATCGGGCTATCTGTTTTCATCCGTAACATCAAGTATAGACGATAGACATAAGCAGGCATATTTAAGCAAACACAATCCGATTCTGAATGATAATGTAAGGAATCAAACACAACCGTACGCACTGATCACTTTACCGTTCATTACGCCAACAGGATGGTGTTGGATGTCTCTCCATTGGTGCACAATCCGCATGACTAAAACAGGAAAAAGAATGTCTGCATTTCAAAAACGGGTTGTTGGAGACTGGGCTTCGAAGTTGAGGAATTAAACTTTGAACCATAGCAGTCTGGATGTCATAAGTAAGGTGGGCAACAATTAACGATGGTCGGATTGCACCGAGAATTCCAATAGAGTCATGTCAGATCGAGAAGTTAGCTAGGCGAACTACACTCGTTTGTAGGTTAATTTGGTTTTAACGAACGATTCAGCTGGATCGCAGCTGAATCTCTTGTTTACGGTATTTTTCAAATGAACGTGCCACACAAAAGCCGCTTCATGTTTCAGTTGAAACGAAACAGTAGTAAATGTCCCAGCCGTAAGACGCTGCTAGAAACTTCTGGACTGTCTACGGTCAGTGCGGTTCGTCATTTGTATTCACCAGTTGGCGTTCCATTAGGGTTGCGTCTGTTTATGATTCCCAAGAAGAAGGACGAAACCAGTCGTTGGTGGTCGAAGAGTTTACAGTGGCGTGTTCAACCAAGGGCAGTTGGGTTGCTTACCGGACTGTACTGAAAAGAAATTATTTCTTCGTAATTTGGCAAAAAAAGAAAAATAAAGAATAGCGGACTCAGTGATGGCAAAGAGTTGGATGGCTCATGTCCACCCATCCGAATCTGTCTGATCACGGTGATTGAACTGGATAAAAAGCTGCGAAAGACGCATCTGAAGGCAGTGTCTCATTCTAAGAGTAACGCTGTTTTCAGAAGTCACAACTGGACGATAGCGATATATGGGCCAAACAGGCCGAGATTGAAAGTGGTGGAACATTGCCACTATCTGCTGTTTTTAAACGGAAAGTTGTGATTTATATAGTAGCTAAGCCAAAGTAACTTGAAATGATTGTCAGCCCTATAGTGCAACGCGCCTTTAACAACTTTGTCGTTAATTTTTTACAACGATTCGTTAAACTGCCACCCGTATCTGATAACTTGATCTGGTCCCGAATCACTGCACTGAGCCTTGATTGTCCAAAAAAGAATACCTGTAAAAAAAACTCCAATATACATGTCAGTAACTTGAGTTCACCGAGCGGAATGCAATTTTTCGACTCACAAGGTCTACATAGACTAACCATGTCCAATTAAATGGTGTTTTTAACGCCCCCAAAATACCTACTAAACCTGACTTTGGATTTGCCAGAGTTTACTTTCGAATCGTTGATTCGTACGACGATTATACTATCGGGAGGTTCACCATTTTACAAATTCCACATTCTTCAATGTTTTGCCAGGCTGATGAGTACAGTTCTGTAAAAATTTGCCAAAATAAATCGCAATTTTGCGTCACACGGAAATGGATTGGCTCCAACGCAGTGACGAACTATCCGAAACTTATTAACCGGCACAGATGTCCAGTGGATGAGATGGTCGATGTGAATAAGAACGTGTTCTACCATTTCGATGACCTGGGTTCAAACCCACATGAGCCCCTTCGGAGTGGCCTCCGGCTTCCGTCCTTGTATCATGTACATACTTTGATTCAGAAACAAAGACGTAAAAAGAATCTTCAAGTGTTCTCTCTCACTGAATTATTTGTTATTGGGGACAGGGAATATCCATGTTTTTTGCCCGTTTAAACTAGGTTCTTCAGGTAGCTGATTTTTGGCTTATGAGTTATTGCAGCCTCTGACATGGTTACTCTCTTCAGACATTGAAAGGAAATGTTCACTGGAAAGGTACCGAAATTCGAAATGTACGGAACGCAAATGTGAAGTGAAGCTGCTAATTTCAATGAAAAGACTGCAAAGAGTACGTTCATAACAATATTCCAACCACAACTGAACATCGGTGTAGGAGTAAGCCGAGCGGTTTGTAATGCACGAACGTGTGTAGAGTAGTTTCTCAATTTGTCGCCCTCTTTCCCACCCTCGGGATAGAGGCCTTCTTCATAATGGCCAGTTGGTGCCGGTCTCACGAAAACTACCTTAAGATTAATGGGTAAACCATAAGAACCTTGAAAGAGACCATAGCATTGTTACTCTGACTCTTTCTGGTAAAAACAGCTTCCCTTCCGGAATTTCTGGAACGTAAACACTCCTTGGTATGGCGATCGATATCTGCTCCACAACGGCGCAACAATACATTCGGCCACTAGATTTACCCTCATTGGTCAAGTCTGGTGTGTGATACTGGCACTGATCAATGAGTCTGGCAGTGGAGTCAACACGGACAGGTGTGCTCACAATAGTTCTGCGTTGTAACAAATCACAAGACAAACGTGTGAAGGTGAACTGAACAGGGGTGACTTGGGTGTACCCAGCAAGGAGCATCGTAACACTGATGTATTAGATTAGCGAAATACACCCATTTACAAACTAATTTGGTGTTTCGAGAGACTCTCCTGGAACCTTCCTGAATCTCTCGCTCGTGATGTTTCCAGGCAAGTGAATGTGCTGCACCAGGCTGCCTCATGTTTCAGTCGCCACGATATTCCAGATATCGCGATACATGCATATTCGTAATGCACTACTCATAAGGTTGCTGAAAATTCGTCGACAGCCCACGACCGGCTCCGCACTTCTTGGGGCTCACCAAGTGGGCGCATTCCCCGAGTTTCCGTCAACCTTATGTTCTACTTAAAACCAAACTGCACGAAACTAGCGAACTGAATACAGTTACCGAATATACACTCATTTGCAAACTAAAAGTTGCACAAAATCAGCTAACTGCACTCATTTAAAAACTTATGAATAGTGCATTACGTACATACATGTATCGCGATATCTGGAATATCGTAGCGACTGAGACATGACGCGGCCTGGTGCAGCACATTCACTTGCCTGGAAACATCACAAACGAGAGATTCAGCAAGGTTCCAGGTGGGTCTCTCTCAGAACCAAATGAGCTTGCAAATGAGTGTATTTCGCTAATTTCGTGCAATTTGCTTTCAAGTAGAACGTAAGGTTGACGGAAACTCGGAGACTGCGCCCACTTGGTGAGCCCCAAGAAGTGCGGAGCCGGTCGTGGGCTGTCGACGAATTTTCAGGCAACCTTATTAGTAGTGTATTGGAAATATAAATGATTTAGGTTGTTTGCTAAGCACGAAATTGTATGACTAGTAGCAGTGTCAACGGTCTGTGGTTTATTGATTCTTGGATAGGTGTATATTCGGGCTTTCTGAGAAAACGGAATGAATATAGTTCAGCTCAATGTTTAAATGGGAAGTTGTTAAGTTAATACTAATCAGTAAGACAGGTTTTCCGAACTTTGGAAACAGTAAAGGTATGCTTATACCGAGTGAGGGGGTTGCAGTAACGCGTGAAAATTGTTGGTTGAGGGTACGTTTGTTGAGAATTGTCATGCACAGTGTCCCAAACTGGTTCCTGAAGGTTTGATGGCAAAATGCTTGTTTTCGGATGGTAGGGGATGTGGGTCCAACTGTTAGCAAAAGAGTGCGTAGGACAGGCTTTCGTCTTTTGCATGTCTAGCTGTTGCCACCAGTGCCTGGAGAGCACAGTCCCTACAGAACAGGAATACCGTCTATGCTAACGCAGGATAACCACAAAGACACAGAGTGGCTGATAGCAGTGGGAGCCCTGATAAGCTCTTTCATATCCAAGACAGTTTACTCAAGAGAGATTCGACTTTGCGTAAAACAGGTGAATACGTTTATTCCCACAAACGGCGGATACAACTGTGAGAGGGTTTCAGCTGGTGGTTTCTTTTCAGGGTGTGCGAGTAATTATATGTGGATTCCGACAGCTAGCTTACGTACAGAGTTCGCTAACAAAGATAGGCGCACATCCACCATCCAACTTGCACAAATGAAAGCCGGCTTTCTGATCATTAAAGCAGAGAGCCAGTTCAGTCAAATGTATGACAGTAATTAGCAAAGCAATGTCACTAGACTGTCAGGTAGATAAAAATAAATTATCCTTTTCGAGTGTACGAGCGAAACGTCCAACTAATCTCGAGGCTTTGTTGCATTTATGTTGTTATTTAAAACTCTCTGGTGGAACCTGAACGACTTCATAGTTGTGTCATTAGGTTCCTAACTAGTGGGTGACTTGAGAGTAGATGCATGCTGGTGACAGTGCGAGATGAAGGTTTGTCATGAAGGTTTGGGTTGTATCACAAACACCCATTGGGTCTGTACAGTATCTGCTGCACCATCTCGTCCATAATCGAAGATAGTCAGGTTCAACGGGGTGTCGCGATTCGAGATGTCCAAAAATGAACTACTGAATCTATGAAAACTAAGAAAACACTACCAAGATATAGATGATAGCTACAGTTAAAGCTAAGCACCTTATTGACTGGGAACGACTGAAAACAGTCTGTTTCTATTGTTGTTGTTCTGTTGTTTTTGGGTAGTTTCCCTTGAACGACCACTCTGTGGTCATGGCCGAATTTCGTGATACATTCAGGTCCAGTATGAGGACCTTGGACACTCGAAGTATGACTCTGTCGCTTTCTACATTCAATTCGACTGTGAAACAGCTTATCTTGTGCGTTCTAGCGCGCCGTGTCAGTATATGACGCTCCTGGTTGTTGTTTGGTTTGGTTTCACCTTGTTGCCAATGCCCCCAGACTGTAGAGTCACATAATTAGCGAAGAGGCAATGTCTAACCACATTCATACAAAGGATCGGAGATGATGTAAACAACGTAGTAGATTCAGTGGATTGGACGGGTACCTCGTTGAGATGGAGAAATTGTCCGGCCTTTGATGTGGAATGAAAAAACTTCGATCAGAAAAAGAATCTGGTAAGATAGTGCAAAACCACGAAATCTGTACTCTACATGCATACTGACACCAATAACCGGAGAGTACGACTTCTTACTAGGATTAAGATGGATTGAAATTTCACACAACTTTTCTGCTCTGTACTCAACTCCCTTAAATTAGTTAGGTTCTTCTGTGAGCGGTCGCTTCACAAATTCAGCACATAACAGCGACACAAAAGTGAGAATAAAGAGAAAACTTTCAGGGTGAGGAATGTGACCATTGTGAATTTCTAACCATGAGACGTCATAATAATACCCAGTAATGCATGATTCTGTTTTCTGTATCATAAACGACAATCTCAGTGGATTCTTTCGTTACCATCTTTGCAATTTACAAGCAGGTGTACTTCGTCACCTGTGTGCTCTGTTTGGCAGTGCGTTTGACTTACATGTACCTTGGTAATGTTTTGGAATATTGGTAGCTCGGGTGTATTGGTTGGTAATTGATCAGGTGGCTGTTGATCTGTTCGCCGAGCTTGGCAATTGATTTGCAAACGTTTCGTCACCATTCGAGGAGACATC